GCGTGTGATTCATATCTTTGTTGTTATGCGCATTAAGGGACCAAAAAAGAAGTTATTTTATTCATTGTATATTTTTTTTAATTAATTGGCCAATTAATCGGTTATCAGAATTTTTCATTTATTTTTTTGCCATACATTGGAATAGGAATCAGAAAATCCATATTGGTCGGGCCCTGGTGGACTTCAGTAGTGTTTATTAAATCAGCAAAATGATCTGGTAAAAAAGCACCACATCAAAAAGGGGAAAAGAACAAGTAGAACACCATTGCTGTCCTATTTGTAGCTGGTGTGTCTCCAAACACAACATCCTGGTGCACTTGTGATCCAGCAACACTCAAAAGTCTTCCAAAAGGTATTTGTGCTGTTCTATCTCAGTTTGTGCCCTGATTACACTTTAGGATGGCTTCTTTCAACAGTCCTCCATCACTTCATTATACACCCCCCTCACATAACCCCCCCGCCCCTCCCAGGCATATGAAGATGCAGTCTTGTGTAACTCTCACAGTCTAAACCAGTTCTATCCAGTTCATGAGGTGTTGCTAAGAAACGGTCCGTGTGTATATGCATGTGTGTACTGTTGTATTAGTGTTTGTGTGTGCGTGTGCTTCACATGCATGAGAAGGGCCAGGGTCCTTTATTCTGTGTGAAGGCAGATAACTGGAATTTTCCTGTTCCTCCTGCCAGCATTACATAAGAGATGATGAGCAAAGAGAGTAGATAGCCATGCTTGTTTTGTCTGACGCTGCCCGTTCCTCTTTTTTTTTTTTTATATTGTGAAATATTTCCGTCACTCAAATAGAAATGCATGTTTAAATTTTCTTTATAAAGCACTTTCCTTTTTTTTTTTTAAATGTATAGAACTGAGTGCAGCACTATAGAAATCTTTGTGCAAATGTGCAGTATTATTCCCATATTTAAACAATATCATGTCTCCCCCTGAATATGAGCAAAATACCTCCACAGAATTCTGTCAAAGACCAAACGTTACTTAAGAAACTGATGCTCCTTTAATTTTCAAACTGATTGCATTAGTGTTTGTGTCAGCAGCTGGAAATGCATATTGGTTTGTCTAGGCATTGATCCACTTAGTGATGAACTGAAATTTTACAGGCTAATGTTCATCATATCAAAAGCTGTGTTGGGGAGAGCATACAGTGCTTATTATTTTTAAGTGACTCTGTAGCTTTTCAGTCTTATTACCAACTTATGTTTGCACATAATGCTGCTGCTTTTTCTGCTGTCACACCAGTGTATTCGAGACCCTTGTCTTGTTTTTTTTTTGTTTTTGTTTTTGTTTTTTAGTCTCTCTGCAAGCTATCTTGCTCTGTCTTATAGGACCAAAGCAGTAGTTTGTCATTGAAAATAAAAACGATCAAAGTTATAAATATTTGTAATTAAATTACTTTTATTGCCATTGAAAAAAATGACTGAAAAATGTTTCAATAAAATAAAACGGAGATATTCAAAATGATTTCATTTTATCATATATTTGCTAAGAATTTTAACAGTAATTTTTTTTCTTGTCTATGCTTTTACAGTCTTTTTTTTTTCCTTACAATTATTTTTTATGTACAATGTTTTTAATATTCTCTGTTTTCTTTTCTGTGTTGTGGCGGGGAGGAGTTTGAAGGTACCAGAAAGAAGCATGTGATTTCTACATACAGTGCTGTGAAAAAATATTTCTCATTCTTGATGTCTTCTATTTTTGCATATTTCTCCAACTTACATGTTCTACATCATCAAACTAATTTTAGTTTTAGACTAGAGACTGCAGTTAAATGTTTGCATTGACTTGTGATCAGTATTTTACATCACCATGCAGGAATATAGGCCCATTCTTTTCTGCAGAATAGTTTTAATTCAGTCACACTGGATGGTTTTTGATCATGAACTGCCTTTTTAAGGTCTTTCCACAGCTTAGCAATTGGATTCAAATCAGACTTTGACTCGGCCACTCCAAGACCTTAATTTTGTTCTTTTTGAGCCATTCAGCGGTGGAGTTGCTTGTGTGCTTTTGATCATTGTCATGCTGCAGAACACATTTGTGTTGAGCTTTAGGTCATGAACTGATGGGTGGATATTCTTCAGGAGGATTATCTGATCGAGAGCACAATTCATGGCTCCATCAGTTATGACAAGTTGACCAGGTCCTGTAGAAGCAAAGCAGCCCCAAACCATGACACTACCACCACGATGGTTGACTGTTGGTATGATGTTCATATTGTGGAATGCAGTAGTAGCTTTACACCAGCTGTAACGTTACCCATGTCTTCCAAAAAGTTCCACCTTTGACTCATCAGTACACAGGATGTTGTACCAAAGGTCTTTGGGCTCATCCAGATATTTTTTGGTGAATGCCAGACAAGCCTTTATGTTCTTTTTGGTCAGCAGTGGTTTGCACCTTGTAACTCTTTCATGGATTCCATTTCTGCCCAGTGTCTTCCTTGTTGTGGAGTGATGTACATTGACCTTAACTGAGGCAAGTGAAGTCTGCAGTTCTTCTGATGCTCATCTGGGTTCTTTTGTGACCTCCTGGATGAAAATTTGGTCGGCCAGCAACTGCTGGCAAGGTTCAGCACTTCATGTTTCCTCAATTTGTGGATTAATGACTCTCACTGTAGTTCACTGCAGTCCCAGAGCCTTTACAATGGCTTTATAACCCTTTACAGATTAACTGTCAGTGACTTTGTTTCTGTTCTGTTCTTGAACCTGCTTTTTGAGACTCTTTAGCCTACTTCACAATACCAGACAGGTTTTACTCTAAATGAAAATATAAATGCAACACTTTTGTTTTTGTTCCCATTTTAGCTGAACTCAAAGATCCGAGACTTTTCTATGACACAAAAGGCTTATTTCTCTTAAATATTGCTCATAAACTTGTCTAAATCTGTGTTGGTAAGCACTTCTCCTTTGCCGGGATGAGCAATCCACCTCCCAGGTGTGGCATATCAAGATGTTGATGAGACAGCATGATTATTGCACAGGAGTGCCTTATGCTGGCCACAATAAAATGCCACTGTAAATGTGAAGTTTTATTACACAGCACAATGCCACAAATGTCGCAAGCTTTGAGGCAGCGTGCAATTGGCATGGTGATTGTAGGAATGTCCACCAGAGCTGTTGCCTGTGAACTGAATGTTCATTTCTCTACCATGAGCCATCTCCAAAGGCGTTTCAGAGAATTTGGCAGTGCATCCAACTGGCCTCACGACCGCAGACCACATGTAACCACACCAGCCCAGGACCTCCACATCCAGCATCTTCACCTCCAAGATTGTCTGCAACCAGCCACCCAACCAGCTGCTGCAACAGTCTGTTTGCATAGCCAAAGAATTTCTGCACAAACTGTCAAACTGTCTCAGAAGTTCATCTGCTTGCTCGTCGTCCTCATCGGAGTCTCGACCTGACTGTAGTTTGTTGTCGTAACCGACTTGAGTCGTATGCAGTGATGTATGGCGTGGCTCTAACTTGGTGCTTAGCCAATGGGAAAGCAACCAGTTCTTTGGAGGTGCCAGATTTGAACCAACTAAGCACTGGAACTAGCACAAGCATGAAACTAGTACCTGGTTCTTCTTGGTGGAAAAGGGGTCGAGTCAGAGGAGGGTCGTCTTTGAGAATAGTGCAGCGACTTACCAGAGAAAAGGTAGACTTATTAGCTCAAGATAACTCATAATAAATTTTACAAGTTAAATAGACTTTCGCAAAACATTTATGGCCCGGTATTGTTACCTAACATATCGGTAGCTTAAGTTAATTGGGCCTGGTGCCAACTCAGTGTCTCTAACGTGAGTAAACTAACTGATAGCACGCTGCACGCTGCTGAAAAACATCCTGGAGGAAACACTGCAGACTTCAGCTAGTTGCCGGAAGTTGTAAGTGGGAAATTTACAAATAGAAAAAGCTGCAGTTTTTGGTCAGTTGTAGTCAGTAATTGAATTGATTTGCAGTATTTGTATAACACACAGACATGTGCAGGTAGCTAATTAAAGTGATGTTTTTATAATAAGTGACTTCACCAGTATTTGAGCATCAGTGTGAACAGTTGGAGTGACCTGCCTTGTTGGCATACTTTAGGTTAAAATTAGCTTGGTTAAAGACTGTGCTGCTGTTTGTTCAGATTTTTTTTTAAATGCTCTTAAGCTTGTATGGTAGTCAAGATCAATCACATCCTAATGATTAGGGCAGAGAAAAGGAAGGGATGTGTTGTGCAGTGGCAGCTTCTTCACAAATAAGCAGAACGAGTGTCGTTTAAGCCGAACATTTTATTCCCAAACCTGCTGCAGCTTAACAGAAAAGGAGGAACATCTATGATTTATCGAGCCATTAACACCTTCCAAAAAAGCTAGCGAGACAAAAGCCACGTCACCCTTCACTGACCCTCCAAAACAAAAGCGCATCCTGTGCGGCTTGAACAGGATTTTCATAGTAAAATGTCAGTAAAGTCCAATTACTCAAACGTTATTTACTGTAAACACATCTGTAGATATTATTGTGAATATTGTAATTACCATATTTTAACCTTAACATTTAATGAGATAATGGTTTTGTCTTTTTTATTTCATAAACAAATAAATATTTCACAACAGGGACGACAGAAGCTCCTTAATATGCAAATGATATGAGAACCACTCGCTCATTGCCCTTCTCCTTAAATTCCTCACCGCCACGTCAAAACAAAGACTGAACGTCGTAATTGAAAACAGGGAACATTTAAAATGAAAAGAAAAAGGGGAGAAAAGTATTGACATTTGGGGGGGGGGGGGATAACTGAAAAGATTTTCTGCAAAAACCAGAAAGTTGTCATTGAAAATTACATTTAAATACAAAAACATCCATCTATCCATTGTCTATACATTGCTTCATCCTCTGTAGGGTTTAAGCCGCAGTGTTCAAAGTGTGTGGGAAAAAGTAGCGGCTTATGGTCCAGAATTTATGGTACATCCTCTTCTGCAATTCATATGTGTATCATTAATCATTAATGTGTCTCTGTCTTTCTGTAGGTGACTTTGTGAGATTAGACCCTGAGGGCAGTTTCTGCCTCTCTCTCTCTCTCAACACTTCGTCTCGTCTGTCATGGCAACTTCGTTGATCAGCCGTCAGCTTGCTCTCTCTTTACAGAAAAACTTGTGGCTCAGTGCTCCAGGTAAATCCAACGCTTCAATTAAGTTCATATCTGTTTAAATCCAGTCAGCATGCACTGTTTCACCAGGTAATATGTTGCTTTGCCACAAATGTCTTCTTGCAGCTTAAGCTAAAAATGCTTTTTCAACAATGTACATCCTAATCGTTTAGGATGTGCTCAACTACTTTGTTTCTCATTACAACAAGTTGTCGTTCGTGTGATTTGTGTCTACAGCCATTTTTAAGGTTTTACTGCTACTGTTTACTTTGAAATAGGCTATTAAGACCACCAAGAATTATGTTCTTTTTTAGAAGTTCTTGAATAGATATTAGAAATTAAGTAACACAAGACTTTAAGAAAGGAGATTATGAGTAAATTCTACTCGATCATATTTAGAAAAAAGTGCAAACAACTCTTCCTATGCCTGATTTCAATACAACCTTACGACATCTTTGCTACGCTGTGACAGTGTTGGAACTTATTTCAAACTGTATGTCCAAGTAAGCTTGTGTATTTGTCATTTTTGATCAGTTTTCACTTAAGTGTAACCTCAAGATGTAAAGTAAGAGTGCTGACATGGATAAAACAGTGAAAACGGAAGAGGATTATATAATCAGTGTAAATGGTTGACTGATTATCAATATGTGTGTGCATGCTTCTCAGAGACTGGTGACTGATGTGTCAAAGGTCCGCTCTCTGTCAATCATCAATAGGCCAGTCTGTTTTGGTCAGATGTACAAGATTAAATAGTAAAAACATGATAAGAAACTTTGCTGATCCCTCACCAGGGAAATGTGCATGTTGTAGCAGTTAGATACAATTGAGGCTTTGAAGAAGCAGGGCAAGAAATCCGAATGTACATCTTTTACATGTACAGATAAGGCTTGATGAATTTATATATAGATATGCAAGACCTGACCTGGTGAATTTACACAAGGACATGTGCACATACAACATAATGGATAATGTACCCAACGGAAGGACACATGGTGTGCAGAATTGTACTTTTGTACAGAATAGCAGTGCTAGCATTTCTGTTATTGTGAAAAAAGACCTGTGTTAACTTGATACATCATATTACATGAACTGCACTTTAGATATTTACATGAAGAGCTATCAGAGAGCAGAGTTATTTTGTTATTGATCTGTAAGAGCTGTAAGGAGATAACAGTTTTACATTTTGTTGTGTTACATAGCAGCAGGTCAGGCCAGGTCATGGTCAGGCCAAAAACGTTTTGAAGTATCCTTGTGCATCATATACACAGTCTGATTAGTCGTATACATATGGCCCTGTACAACCAACTGTCGGTCATTTCTGTGCCAACTACTACTCACTTTACTGGGCTAAATTGCTGCTTTCCATCTTGTACTTTGTACTAAGGGTTGCTGGCAAATCTCATTTAACAGAGCATTTCAATCCAACAGAAATCATAATCAGACACTATAATCTCCACAATGTAGAGCTTTCATCTAACTTTTACCTTCAGTTTGTTTTTTGATCCAGCACCTAAAAAAGCCTTTTGGATGCGTTTTCCTACACTCTATCCCTCTGATCACCAGTAATGATAGACAAGAGAACAATTAAGTTCATTTTCGTCATTAGTAGTGTCAAAGTTTTATGTGCTCAGTGTGTATTTATTGCCCATATTTTTGTTCTACTGATTGATTACCACCTATCTTGAGTTGATCAAGTACCTGTGCATGTGGAAGTGATCAGAAACAAAAAGTCAAGTGTGGACATGTTACAGTATACCCAAAATCCTGATAACAGGGATGCTGATGAGAGTGCGCACACACACACACACCAACACACCTACAGTCTCCCGCTCTGTGTAATTTGTGTAAATGTAGATTATTTATTCTAAGGTTTTGTTTCCATCAGGGTGCAGATATGTCAGCAAGGCAGCAGCAAAAACCCAGGTGGAGTTTGACTATGATGGCCCTTCTATGAAAACTACAGTCCCTGGACCACGATCACAAGTAACACACATAGAGTTACAGTAGTACAGTTACTCCTCCCTCCCCGTGTACTTACTGACAACAACAAACTTTTTTTTTTCTCCATTTGTAGGAGCTGACGAAACAACTGGGAGTCATCCAGGTGAGCTGAGATGTGTGTCTGTTTGCAAATATCTTTGCCAAGTTAAACATGAGTACAAGTTACCACATGACAAGAGTATTAACATACTTGTATTTCTCCACAAAAATGAATTGAAGAAAGCAGTGTGAGTACATTTTCCAAAACTTACATTAGGCTTAATGAAGCCTACACAGTGCCTCTTTATGTATGTGTGACCAGATAGCATCCCTACTTACAGCTTTTTTCTGGCGTGGGATAGAAACATTGCTGCTTCATCAGTCTGCTAAAGTGATGTCATTTTGCCATTTAGATATACGTAGGTCACTTTACATTAATGCTCCTCACAGCTTTGTTCAAGCATACTCACCTGAGAAAGAATATTCATCATGAAAAAACACATCTTTTTCTAGAATGTTGGTGCAGTCAACTTCTTCTGTAACTATGAGGAAAGCAGAGGGAACTACCTGGTGGATGTGGACGGCAACCGCATGCTGGATATCTACACTCAGATATCTTCTATCCCAATTGGTTAGTACCAAAAGATCACCGCTCCATAGATGGGCAAGTGGGCTACTTTATATTGCAGTGTTGGTATATCTCATGATATAGATAATCTTCTGAAAAATAACTTCAGAAACTGTGTATAGTATAACTAAAGAGGGATATCTGATTTTGGCTAATGCAGGGAATGAATTTCCAACAAATTAGGGTTGAGTGTGTGTTTTCTTTTTCTTTTTCTTTTTCTTTTTTTTAAAAAAATCATTTTGATGCAAAGATTAGTTTAAAATGACCATAAACCCACTCAAGGCTGTGGCACTTCCCCTGTAATCAAAGAAATTGATATTGGTCAGTTTCTGTCATCTTGCACTCTGCAGGATATGGTCTCACTCAGCCTTATTGGAATCGATTTCTGAATGTCATCCTCCTACATTTAATTGGGTTTAGGTTTTAAAAATTGGAACTAAAAGTTGATATGTATGTGCATGTTCTTGCCTGTTAGGCAATTCCACAGTATATTGTGCAGTGATATGCTCATTTGAATTTAGATTATGTTGTTAAGGCAAGTGCACATACAATCCCAGATAACTGCTCTGTACTTTATACTTTCTGAATGACATCAGTGACATTAACTGCCAATGACCATTTCTGTTATACAGAACATTTACATTTATAACATTGTACATTCAGCATTTTAATCAGTCAGAGTAATTACCAAATTATTCCCTCCCATGTTCATACCTGCAGCATGTTGTCTTAGAGTCAGCGGTTGTCTGAGGTTAACAGACCTGTCAACTTCAGAGTACTTGAAAGTTTAGTTCCCGTTTCATAATTTTATTATTAGCATAGGCCATTGATTATTGGATTCTTGATTGTACCTTTAACACTACATCATATTGGCATACTTTTCAACTTTGAATCACTTAATGATAAAGATTACAAAAAGAATACCTACAGCACCTATTGTTTTTATCACCAGAAATATGATAATTCATAACAAATTCATTCAGACACAAATATCAAAATTTGAAAAATGCCCTATTTGAACTAGATATTCAGACACCCAGTTGTATGAAGACTAACCACTTCTTCAGCTTTGCTGCAGTACCATGCCTGCAGTTCCAGCCAATTGGAGGTTAGTCTTTAAGTCAGTGGTTTTATCTCCAAGCCCCAGGGCCTCCATCACAGAAGGGTTTTTGTTGTGGCCAGAAACTCGCACACTTAGACTCACGCAGAAGCCTTGGAGGAATGCATTCAAAACAAAGCATGAAAAGCTGTCTAAATCTGACCGTTATTTAACCACTAGGGGAAGGATATTATTTCTTAGCCATAGCCTTGTCACTGGAGAAGTAATGATGTTTCAAATGTTAGAAAGATAAATTCACATAAAAAATAGGGACATTCAGAAAGAATGTATGCCTTGTGTGCGATCTGTTTGTTCTTGTGATGGACGTTTTTGTGGTTTAGGGACTAGAGATTTGCCCTCCAGCATTCAAATGACTTACATGGAAAACAGAATTGGCATAGAAGCCCTGATTTCTCTGTCTCTCTGTCTGTCTGTCTCTGTCTCTGTCT